TTGCTGTCACTTCCCAGCATTACCAGAGGATCATACAGCACTTCACTAGCTGGGAAATGATGAAAAAGATCAAAATTTGGAGTAGGGCTTCTTCTGGATGTGTATCACTTTTACACCATTGTGAAGTTGAAGCATCATAAGTTGGGGACCTTCTGTATGTTCAGTAATGGGATTGTTGGGTCATATGTTATTCTGTTTTTTTTAGGAACCTCTGCACTATTTTCCATAATAGCTGTACTTCCTATCTTTACTGAAGTATAATTTACATACAGTAATATGCATATATTTTGAGAGTACAGTTCAGTGGCTTGGGCAAATGCAGTACATTCAATCCTTGAATGTATTGTCATAACCCCAGGGAACTCCTTCCTGCCTTTTTACAGTTACTTCTCTCTCACATCCTGCTCCACTGTGATTTCAATTCTATTATTGTGGATTAGTTCTGGCTGTTCTAGAACTTCACACCTTATGTTCTCTTTTGTATCTGGCTTCTTTTGCTTATCAGAGTATTTTTGAGATTCTTCATGTTTCTTCCTTTTTGTTGCTGACTGACCCCATGCCTAAATTTTAAAATAACATTTCTGTATATGTGAGACTTTTCTAGTCAAAAAGCGGAAGCCTTGGAGCAATTTAATAATAGAAGTTCTTGTGTCTACAGTTTTGTTACCCAAGTTTAGGGAATTATTTTGGTAAAATTCATTTTCTACATTGTCTGATGACTATGCTTTTTTCTCCATAAATTCTACCTTACTTTCACTTTTACTTCCATATAATGAACAAAAGTGGTACTTGAATGAATTACGTTGTATATATGCTAGTATGAAATGCCATTATAGCCTTTTCCCAGTCAGGTAGGAGTTTGCCCAGCTTTATTGACACTTTGTAAGTTTATCCCCCATTCTTATTCAAAAGCCTAGTTAGGTGTTGTATGACATAAAATTTATTTTTAAATTTTTCTGTTTCCATAGCAACTATTACACATGGAGGAAAAAAGCTGAGAATTGTAGAACCAAGGTGATATGAGTAGGATATTAGAAACCAAATTCTGGGCTGGGGATTTAGCTCAGTGGCACTGCCCCTGCCTTGCAAGCGCAAGGTCCTGAGTTCGATCCCTAGTAGCAAAAAAACAAAAAACAAACAGAAAAACAACAGAAAAAAGACTAAAGAAACCAAATTCTTACAGATGTTAACTAAGATTTCAAATAGAATGAGTTTAAAAGCTGAAGTTCTTATTCCAGAGACCAGGAACTCTAAGGGGAATCTGGGAATGGCCTAAAGAACTATATTTAAAAGTCAAATCAAGCCACAAATGATGATTAAAAACTAGGCATACCCTGCCTCATCCTACTCCAGGCCCACTTCTGACACGTCAGAGATACTTACTTTTATGCTTCTAGTATCCACTCACTTAGATGTTTTTATTTCTACTAGTTGCTTACACTATTTTTTTCTTGAATATCCTATTTTAGACATTGTGTATCATGTTCAGCTATGGAAGATGAGGATTTATTTAGTTGTCCTTCTACTCTTTCCCCCACTCCATCACATATTCCTTCTTAATCCTCTAAAAATAGTAGTTGTATCCTATGGTTGGTTAAATAGACAGTGCTCATTTTATTATAACTATAAATATTTACAGCTAAGCCATGCAGTATGATAAATTTTCTGTTGTGTAGTTTTTTTGCTGCTGTTATTTTTCCTGAAATTAATGATTGAATGGTCCTGTTGCTTTTCATTTCCTGGATCCCATGTTTTATCTCTTTTATTTTGATGGTGCACATTCTTCAGAAATTTCCCAAGATGTGCTGCATATAATGTTTACTTCTTGAGAGTTTATACATCTGAAAATATGTTTATTATTTCCTCATACTTGAGTGAGAGTTTTTCTGGGAAATAATTCCGTCTCAGAATTTTGAGGATATAAGATTCCTTTGTCTTACAGATTTTGGTATTGCTGTTTAGAAAAGTGTGATGCCATTCTGATTCCTTACCCTAGAGAGTCTGCCTTTTTTCTGTTGAAAGCTTTTAGATTATCTCTTACCCCTGTGTTCTGAAGATGTTGAGATAGACTTTTTCTCACCCCATCGTCCTGAGCATTTGGTATGCTTTTTCAACCTTGGAACTCATCATTTTGTTCTGGAAAATTTTGTTTCTGTTTTTAAAAATGTGTTGGTATTTTTCTTCACTCTAATTTTCCTCCCCAGAAACTTGTATTTGGCAAATATTGGACTCTTAGTTCAGTCCCCTCATTTTCTCCTATCTTTTATCTTTTGGGTGTGCATGTGTTTTCCTCCTTGGAGAATTCATCATGGATGTCTTCTAACCTTTCTATTGGATTTTAAAAAGTTTTTATCATGTAAAATCTTTTTCAAAGAGTTGTTTTTATCAACTCTTTTTATAGTTAAAACTTTTTATAGTTAACCTGATTTGTTCCATTGATGTAATAACTTCTCTTATTTTTCCTCTAAATATGAATTGTCCTTTTTAAAAATTCTGTTTCCAAGCTGGGGTCAGTAGTGTATGCCTGTAATCTTAGTGGCGAAGGAGGTTTAGGTAAGAGGTTTGCAAGTTTGAGTGCAGCCCAGGTAATTTAGGGAGACAGTGACTCAAAATAAAAAATAAAAACAGATGGGGATATAGCTTAGTGGTGGAATACCTTTGGGTTTGATCTCTAGTACCCCCCCCCCCCCATATTCTGTATGGTTCTGCTCCCCTATCAACTACCCCTCCCCATCCCAGTACTATTTTCTTTTTGTATGTTTTGATGCATGTCTTTCCTTGAGTGTTTGGTGATCCTTGGCTAACCATTTGTATGCAAGAGGGAAAGAACTAATTGGGAACTCATAGCATGTTATAGCACTCATCTAGAACTCAGCTGTTTTTTCAGTGAAAACTCTAGAGTCAGTATGTATCTTAAGAAGTCTTTTTTGGGCCTGGGATTTAGCTCAGTGGTTCTAGTGCCTGCCTTGTAAGCACAAGGTCCTGAGTTTGATCCCCGTACCAAAAAAAAAAAGAAAAAAGAAAAAAGGAAGTCTTTTCACTTGAATCAGGTCATTTTTCCTAAGGAGAAAGCCATAACTCTCGTGTGTTTGGGGTATGAGTCAAGCTGCCACTGTTACTGAAATCTAATCATTAAAGGAGGATGAAGGTCCAGAGGGGCTGAGAATTATACCACCTAATAGGTTCCCCTTTGACTTCATCTTCCTATTTCATTATAGTGCCTCATACCTTTCTCTTACTTACACCTTGTATTTCTTTTTCAGATTCTTTATAAATAAGCTCTCCCCAGATTTGACCAATGCTAAGGAGAAGAAATTATGTCTATGAGGCTTGATAGGGATCTGTGCCTCAAAATACTTCCACAGAAAGTTTTAGCTGTGTACCCCTAATCTTCCCAGTCATAGTAAGCCCTGCTCCAGGCCAAGGTGTTCAGATTTCTCTAGTCTGCTAACTTAGTACACAACACTCATCTTGATAGCTTTCAAAATTTTGTGGCCATGTCTTATTTGCTGTTCCTTCTGTTTTCTTTTCTTGATATTTTGTACTTTAAAAATTCCCTCTTTGCCATTACTTTTTTGGAGTTGCAGAATGGAAAAGTGATAACTAGGATCAACTTTATCAGAGTTTTCCATGGGGTCTATGCTCACTTCCCCCCCCAATTAACTAATATTCCACTATGCTTATTTCTCAAGGGACATCACAAAGTCCTCTTATTCAAGACTTTTATTTGTATTTTAAACATGGGAGAATTTCATAAAAGTATCATGTGTGCCTTATCCTGCAGTTGTAGAAATAGATTAGGTGGTTTCTTAAGAAAGCTTTTTATCTTAGCATTCTATCTTTATATTTTCCATGCCTGTTAGAAAAAAAAATGTTGAAATTTAGTTTATAAGTGTAGTTTCAGTGAAATGTTGCAATGTTGAAATTTGGTTTATAAGTGTAGTTTCATTTGGTGCCACCACACCAAATCTCATAGAAGGAGAATACAGATTTTCAGTTGACAAATATGTGGTAGTCTTTTTAGGGTGATGGAAATGTATGTTTACTGAAGACTTGGATTATACAGGTGTGCACATGTGGCAGAATTCATCAAATGATATATTTGAAATGCATTCCTTCACAAATTTTACCTCAAAGAAGAAACAGAAACAAAATTGGAAACAGTGTCAAACTCTAAATAAAAATGTGTATTAGAATTGTCAAAAGTATATGCAAGCAGATCTATGAATTATGAATGACCATGAATCTCTATCATTTCATGGTGTAAAAATTGCACATTTTAATTAAGGTAAAAAATAAAAGCTTATGTTTACCATGTGCATTGTGCCTGTCCCTCTTTCTTCCCCTCCCTTTTATTTTTATCATATTGTTAGTTATATACTCTGCAGATCTACAGAATGATGTAGATTATCTTATTTAATGTCTAATGTTTAGAATATAAGGCAAAAAATTTTGGTATGTCCTGTTGAGATTATGTTTAGGTGTACCTACTGTTTTGGGAAACTGAGGAAACGGCTCAGTTGAGAAGGACACTCAGATCCCTGATTGTAAACTTTACCTGGAGTTCTAGAGCTAGAAGCATGGACCATGTGACCTGTCAGCTGAGTAGATCATCCACAAGGAGGTTTGGAGAATGGCATTAAATTCTCAAATTGATCATTCCCCTTTTAGACATATTAACATTTATATGGTGCTTTGTATTTTCTTTTTGCTTTATATCCTTAGTAATTATTTCTAGATTCACTCAAAGGTATGTTGGGAGTAATTTTCTAATTTCATGGCAGAGAAAATACAGATACAGAGAAGTAGGGATGCATCCAGGTAAATCAGTTTCAGAACCAGGATTAGAATTTTGCAAGCAGACCAACCAAGAGGAATAAGTGGGACTGGGAATTAGGAACTGTTACATACAGTAATCTCAATAAGGAATACTAACTACATTATGGGTTTAGGCTGGCAAACCTTTGGACTAACCCAAGATTGAATCTGTTGTATACCAGGTAAAAGAAAACCTTCTTTCATGCAAGATGTTGTTGCACTGCAAACGGGATGAACTTCGGAAACTGTGGATCGAAGGAATTGAACATAAGCACGTCCTGAACCTGCTAGATGAAATTGAGAACATCAAGCAAGTGCCTCAAAAGCTAGAACAGTGCATGGCCAGCAAGCATTATCTCAGTGCCACTGACATGCTGGTAAGAGAACAGCCTATGCTGAGGTTTTTTTCTGCGTAGATTAAAAAAAATACTTCTTTTTTGTTCTCTCAATTTTGTGATGTATGTAGTACATTACAAAACTTCCCTTTTGAGATTCACAAGGCTTTGAAGGTGATGTTCTCTTCCTCATTTCATGTTTGAAGTGGCAGATGATTATTACGTATTCTTTGCTTTGGAACAATGGCAAGACATACTGTATAATGGAAAGGGAGGAGTACTTAAATCATGTTGGAATCATAATAGGGAGTGTTGTTAAGCTTCAGAGGAAGATAATCTCATTTTTGTTGTTTCGGTTTTTGCGGTTTTTGCTTTGTTTTGTTTTGCAGAGTTGAACTCAGAGATTCGCACATGCCAGGCAAGTGTACCACTGAGCTGTATCCCCAACCCTTTTTTTCTAAAATTTTATTTTGAGACAGGATCTTACTAAATTGGCCAGGCTCTCCTAAAACTTTTGATCCTCTTTTCTCAGTCTCCCAGGTAACTGTGTTCACAGGCATATGTCGTCGAGCCTAGCATGAATCCCATTTTAAAGAATGAAATCTACATGACACAGAATTTTTAAAGATTTATATAAGACTTGGTATTCAACAAATTATTTGAAAAAATGTTAACTTTAGGGCTTTGTGGGGTTTTTTTCCTTCAATTAATAACAAAGTAAATAAGTCTTTTTGGTTCCGAGGATCAAACTCGGGACCTTGCTCTTGTGAGGCATGTGCCAGAGACACTGAGCTAAATCCCTGGCAAAGAAAATAAGTCTTAAGGGGCCAGGGATTTAGCTCAGTGGTTTCGCTGCCTGCTGCACAAGCACAAGGACCCGAGTTCGATCCCTGGTACCAAAAAAAAAGAAAATAAGTCTTAAGCTAGAAGCAACCTTGTTAAGCAAGAGTACTCTACAACCTAATCTTTGGCCTCTATCTTAGTTCTTACGAAGTTGCAGTTGGTGGTGAGTATGAAGCAAATGAATAAAAATAAAAATGCAGATTTTGCTCCCTAGTAATCCTCACTTTCCCAAGGCCTGTGGCTCTTTAAGAGGGCCACCCTATCTTCCTGCCTGTTCTACACACATACATACCCACTTGCATCAGAGTTGGCAGAGGATCACAGAAGCTCTCAGCAGCAGGATGACTGTATTTGAATTGTTTTCTTTTCCCCAAGAGGTAAAAGCCCTTTATCTTTGTTTCTCCAAATTAGATTGGCTATAACACTGGGAAAAACACTGAGGAGAATTGGTGGGAACACAGATTAAATGTGCTAAGTATCTCTAATTCATTCCAACTTCCAAGAAGAATTTTGCTAAAAGTCTTTCATGAGATGTTTTAAGGAAAATGGATAACGAAAGTGTGGGAACTGTCATGGTATTCTATCATGTATTGAAAGCTAGTTATGAATGGACTGAACAGTCAGTTTTCACAGTGGAAGGTTAATAATGGTCTGCTCATGGGAATGGCAGAAGGATTGGTTGCTTCCAGTGTCTTATTCAAGGTGACATCTTCCTTAATAATGACTATATGTTGTTCAACAGAAAAATACTACTTTTCGTCTTTAGGGTTGGGTTATGCTTATTTGGGCTAAATTATCAGGATTCAGAAATCAGTAGATGTATATGTATATATTTGTGTTGAATATATACATCTATTTGAATTACAGTTTTTGGCAGTAGGCCTACTTTGAAGTAAATGCCACATATTAAATTGGATTATTAGATTTTATTTCTGTATTATGTTCATTTTAGGAGTTCAGATTTTTGGTTTATGGTTTTATTACTGAAGGGCTAATTTATTTACTTAGGTTAATCAATAATGAATACTATCTCCCTTTTAAAAATTTGATTTATTTTTCTTTAAAAAGGACTTCATTACATGGGAAATTAAGTGGGGAAGAACTCAGGTGTTGAGGGTGAAGGAATATAGGCTATAGTTTATACCTTTACACCTTTGCAGAAGGAAAAAAATCCCCTTTTTGACAGAATATTGCTTTGCAAAAGAAAATGATTTTTTTCTAATAAAAATATCTGAGATCTAAATAGAACCAGTTTCGGTACCATGATCATCTGTTTTATTTAAAACCATGTGGTTGTGAGTGAGAAGTGGGGTGGTGAGGAAGAATAGTTGCCTCGAGAAAAGTGTGTGAATAAGACATGTTTCCAAGAAGTTTTGTTCCTTTTGTTTTTTATTTGTAGTTGTTTATATATTGTAATGCTAATCCTTTATCTATTAGCTGGGTTACAAATATCTAAGTTGGTAGTGAATCTTTTCACTTTGTTTATGGTGTCTTTTATTATAAAAGTTTAAAAATTTTAACACAGTAAAATTTCTCAATCTTATTTGTTTGTATCACATGATTTTATTTTAAGAACATTTGTTTTGCCCCAGTGTCATACAGAGAACCTCCTATATTTTCTTCTTTAATCCATCAAAAGTCCATTTTTATATGTGATGTGAACTAGGGATCTAATTTTAGTTTTCTCCTTTATAGCCAGTTGGCTCAGACTATTTACTGAAATCCTTTTTCTGTTGATTTACAATGCCAATTGTCACACACCAAGTTTTCACCCATTCATAAGTCTGTTTCAGTGTTCTTTTTTTTGTTCACTTGGTCCTGTCTGTACCTGTGAACTAGGTTTTTTTTTTTTTGGTACTGGGGATTGAACTCGGAACCTTGAGCTTGCACCGCAGGCGCTGGAACCACTGAACTAAATTCCCGGCCCCTAGGTTGTTTTAATTGTTACAATTTTGTAATATAACTTGATAGGAGGTAAAATACATTCCCTCATTTTGCTATTCAAAATTATCTTTGCCGTTTTTGATCCTTTATTCTTCTACAGAATTCCACAAAAAGTATAAGATTTTGATTGAATTTAAGAGCATTTCTATGTTAGCAATATTGAGCCTTCTATCAGTGAGTAGTATATACCTCATTTATTGAAACCTTCATTTATGTCTTCTAGTAATGCTTAGTAATATATTCCTTAAAAGTTTTACATATATTTTGTTAATTTAATTGGGGCACCATATATTTTTTGGAAAGATAGTAGCTCTTTATTTGAGACTTTTGAAAGATAGTAGCTCTTCATTTATTAAAGTTTCTAGTTATTTGTTGCTGGCATATAAGTATGTGATAGATCTGTCTTTTTAAATTTACCACTTAGTTTCCTGAACTGATTTCCCAATCCTGTCTGCTTGGAAAATGCTGAGGTATTCTTTAAGACTTGGTGCAAATCTCATCAACTCTCTGAATGTTTGAGATACTTAGACACTTTTTGTTTTGCTTTATGCTTTTGTAAGCTGCATGTATCTCATTGTGACATAATTGCTTTTATTTGTGTGGTAGGTCCCTGAGGATGGGGTTGTGCCTTATCTACTTTTTTCTGCCCTATACCTACATAGTGTGGAATATAGTCAGAATTCACAAATCACTACCCAAAAGCAATAACTACGTGAAAGACTTTAATACTGGTACATATAAAAAAACTTGTTCCTTTTCTAGGAGTCAGGTCTGTTTTTTATCCTCTTGTTAGTTTTTTTTTTTTTTTAGTGATGAGCTTCTCCTGTTTCTAGACTTTCTCTTTTGAAGTGTTTAAATGAACAACAATTATAGCATAGTTAATATGTAAGCGCACCTCTTACACCATTTTAAGTATATGGCATTTGTTAACCCAGTTAATTTTCACAACAAGACCAAAGGTTTCTGAGATTATTATTTACAGATGAGGTAGTTGTTTTACATGACCTGGGGAATTGGAAATTGTGTGTACATCCCAATTAACAAAAATTTCATGGAGGTAGGACTTAAAAGTGTGTTGTAAGAGGTTGCAAATATTCTTCAACTTGGTCTTTTGTTTATGAATGAAGAGTAAGTTCTATAATTGCTCTTTCACTGGACTTCATATAAAAAATAATCAGATTTCTTTTCCCCATGATTATATGTTATTAGGAGTAAAATCTACTTTAGGAATCTCAGAGGTGCAAATGGAAATCTTTGCTAAACGACATCAGAGGAAAGTAAAGACAAAACAGTCTAACCTTTCAAAACTCCCTAATTTTCTTGGGTTTATTTGTCTGAAGATTTTGCATTTTCATTTCAAGGCAGGTGCAGATGCAGATATGTAGTAATTTGATCCCTACTCAGTTTAGGTTAATAAATCCAGAGTAAATAAATTAGTGGTGACCTGTTCTTCTTGGTAGCTCCTGCTATTCCTGCTTCACCATCAAACTGGTCTAGTAGCTATAGGCTGGGCTTGTAGGTTGGACATTTATTTCTTCTTTTGATATGATAACCCCAAGTATTGCATAAAATAATTAAATTGTCATGACAGGGAATGTCTGCAAATAAACCTGGCCTTTTGTTTCCTTCTTCAAGGTAAACAGCTGCTGTTGGCTTACGAAAAACTAAAAATGATCCAACAAGAAGCCTGTATCCGTCACATTGAAATCAGAGACTTGATTAATATTGTGGCCTGTAGTTTTGTGATATGTATGGTTTAAATCAGACCTTTGCAGTCATTGTGCTGGGTTGATGCAAGCACATTAATGACATAATTTCTGGTTACTGCATCACACTTCTGCAGTCTGTCCTTTGTATTCTACTCACATTAATTGAAGTAATTTTGCCAGTGAAGCGTGTTTCAAACCTCTGCATTTAAATTGAAATTTTAATTCCCTTATTGTCTTGAAAAGACAGCTGAAGATGCCTTGTTATAGGTTTCATTATCACTCACAACACTCCAGCTGCTGGTTCTAATGTACAGTGACTGATTAATTCTGGGAGAATTATTAATATAAGAATAGCAGCTTCTTCCCAGTGGTATGAGTTAACAAGGAAGGTATTTCATGATAGTTAATATTTTTATAAACTTTTTTTCCCAAGGAAAATTTGTGTGTAGAAGTCTAGATCTTTCTAAAATTGCATAGGGAGCTTTGAAAACCACTTGCAGAAGTTTTGATTTATCAGCCCATAGAAGTCAATTCATAATTGCATTC